ATTATATAATAATAACAAACAATAAAAAAATTATTGAAAAATGTATATTTTTAAAATTTTTTTAAAAATAATTTTTATTTATTTTATGGATGCTATTGAAAATGACATTAACGTTTTAGAAGGTAAGTCAAAATATATATTATTTTTATAAATAATATATAATTATAATAATTAAGTATATATATACATATTTAAAAAATATATTTATTTTTATTTTACTTGAATCTTTTAAAGATAACGAAAATTTTGTATTCAAAACAACAACAAAAAAAATTTCAAATTAATAAAATCAATAAAATATTTAACCAAATCAAAATATTAAAAAATTTTTTTTATATATATGACAAAAAACACCAATTTTACCTAAACCTTAACAAGCGTTTTTTTCTATGTTAATGAAAGAAAAAACAAATTGATGTTGTTAATGATAACTATACATTGTTACACAGAGATGATGCTAGTTAAAAAAAAATAATTTTACCTAACAACATAATAGTACAAATAATTTTACCACAAAAACATTTAACTATATATCACACAATAGTGATATTTTTCTTACATTTGTACCATTACAAACGTAATAGATTTAGACGATGCGAAAATTTTAAACAAGACAAATATTTAATTCACTAAAAAAAATGTTATCGACTCATATGTTGCACAAAAAAAACTTCTGTACCTTCTAATATTTATAAAACTGTTTTGGGAAAAATCTATGCAAGAATTAGAAAAAAAAACAAATAAATAAACTAATAATGAAAATTTAGAAATGTTTTATACGCCAAAAAAAATGTAAAACAAGTGTCAAACAAAATTTATTAGGAAAAATAAAAAAGATAGTTTGAGTAAATCAAAGTTATATAAAATTCCTCAGTTGATATCTTAAACCATACAAAATTATGTTAAAACATTTATGTCTAATAACAATATTTTTGGTTTGTATTAAAATTTTTAAAAATATATATATATATTTATAACTTATTTATATTTTATTATAAATAGCAATGGACTAGATGATAAAACTGGCTAATTATCTACTGGACAAACCATAAAGGAGCACACGATTTTAAGCAGTGTTAGAGCTACGACACTACGTTTAAAATTTTCAGATTTTTATTTATCCGTTTTATGTATAAGAAATATATTTCTTAAAAACTATCCTGTTTTTCCTGTCATGTATTTTTAATCATAGTACACAAAGATAAAAAAAATCATGATAACTTTTTTTAGTAACTTAAAACATTAAACATATTTGTTAATAAATTGCAATATATTTATTTGCTGTAAAGATTAATAATGACATTATTTTATTATATTTTTCTTATATATTTATTTAAATAGTAGTACTACTAATATACTAATAATAAACCCTACTGTAAAAAACTACTAATAATAACATATGTACAATAAATTTTGTATTTAAGTTATATATAATATTATCTCAAAAAATTAACATTAAACATTAAAAAATTGTTTTATATTAATAATTATATATATTATTGAAAATAAATGTTAATAGTTAAATATGTAGAAATATTAATATATTTATTATATATATTGTTTTTATTTTTTCAATTATAAAATTTTTTTTAATATAATATATATTGTAAAATTTAAATTAAACGAAAATGTTTTTAATAAAAATTATTATAAGTAGTAATAGTAGTAAACACTGGTATTTTGTTTGTTGGATTTTAATTTTAAGAAATTTTTCTTATATATATATTTAAATAGTAGTACTACTAATATTTGTGTATAATTAATTAAACCCTACTGTAAAAAAACTACTAATAATAACATATGTACAATAAATTTTGTATTTAAGTTATATATAATATTATCTCAAAACATTAAGCATTAAAAATTGCTTTATATTAGTAATTATATATATTATTGTATATAAATGTTAATAGTTAAATATGTAGAAATATTATTATATTTATTTTTTATTTTTTCTATTATAAATTTTTTTTTGTAATATAATATATATTGTAAAATTTAAATTAAACGAAAATGTTAATAAAACAAATAATATTTTAAATAAAATTTATTATGAGTAGTAATAGTAGTAAACACTGGTATTTTGTTTGGATTTTAATTTTAAGAAATTATATCCCATTACTTGTATATACAATGTGTTTGTTGTACAGACATATTAAAGACAAGTTAAAGTAATAGAAAATTTTATATCAATATTAATATTTAGATAATATTTTTTCATTTTTATATTATAAAAATTATTTATTTATTTTTTTAGATATCTTATAATAAATCAGTTTCAAAGACATGTGATAAATTTATAAACGTTATAACTTTTTACAAAAATTTTTAAATAATAAATACCAATTCCAATGCTTAGGTATGTAACCAAAAAAACTGTATGTCTATATACAATAGCTTGGATAATTATAAATATATTATAGATACAATAGTATTTTTGTGACATTTTTTTTAGAAAATTTATTTGAATGATAAACATGTGTTTATATGCAATTATACATATAATTTATTTAATTATAATAAATTATTTATATATAGTATATTGCAATAATAATATTTGTTATTTAAAAAAACATAAATAAATATTTATTAACTGGTAATATACTGAATGCATAGATAAACAAAAATAAAATTATTTCTATAATTTTATAATCATCTATTATTATAACATCAAAACACATAAAACATTACAAAACATATTTTATATAAAGTAAATTTCTAATAATAAATTTTAATTATATACATTTAGAAATTATATTTAATTTTTTTTTAAATTTATAATAGTATATAAAGACGTGAAATTGTTTTTAAAAAAAATAGAGTAAAATATTATAACAATAATGTTTAAAAATTTTTAGAACCCAACATGACATCTCATTTAAGCGTAAAATAAATATGATATGAAAAATTATTTTAATTTAGATTTATTTTATCATCAAATTAAATTCAATTAATTTATATCATACATTTAATTTTTTTTCTTGAAATAAAAAGTAGTACAGGGTCCCTTTATCCTAATTTTGGGGAAATAAAATAGCTTTCCCCCATAGCATGACAACACATTTTAATCGCATGTATGAGTGATATCGTCTGCACCTAACATGACATCACATTTTAATCGCATGTATGAGTGATATCGTCTGCACCTAACATGACATCACATTTTAATCGCATGTATGAGTGATAACGTCTGCACCTAACATGACATCACATTATAATTGCATGTATGAGTGATATCGTCTGCACCTAACATGACATTACATTTTAATCGTATGTATGAGTGATATCGTCTGCACCTAACATGACATCACATTTTAATCGCATGTATGAGTGATAACGTCTGCACCTAACATGACATCACATTTTAATCGCATGTATGAGTGATATCGTCTGCACCTAACATAACATCACAAATTTTATAACTAAAAGTTTCATCTTATTAATTAATAAATAATATCAAAATAATTTAAAGTTCACATTAGTATTCAAACATTAAGTTTTATTTTTGTTAGTTATTAGTTTTTTAGTAATTATAAAAATTATTATTTTTATTATTAATAAACAACAAACATATATTTTAATAAATTGCAATATATTTATTTGTTGATAATGATTAATAATGACATTATTTTATCACATTTTTCTAATATTTTTTTTAAATAGTATCACTATTAATATTTGTGTATAATTAATTAAACCCTACTGTAAAAAATCATTAATAATAATAACATGTAGAATTTAATTTGGATTTTGTATTTTGTTTCGTTTTTGTATTTTGTTTGGATTTTAATTTCAAAATGATATCCCATTACTTGTGTATACACTGTGTTTGTTGTACAGACATGTTAAAGTAATAGAAAATTTTATATTATTATTAATTTTTATATATTTAGTTTTTTATTGATATCTTGATTGAAATCAGTTTCAAAGTCAATATCTTGTGATAAATTTATAAACTAAAATGTCTATTTTTTAAATTTTTTAATAATAAATTAATAATCACTTTTCCAATGCTGTATGTCTATATACAGTAGCTTAGGTATTGATTAATAGACATATATAACAATTAAATGTTACAAAATCAATCAAATTAATTATTAATTGCAAAATATGTTTTAATGATTTTTTTAAATTTATGCATTGATGTTATAGATATATGTCACATAACACACTTAATACACACACACACAAAAATAAATAAAATAATTTTAAATATAATCTACATAGTATAGTATTTTTTTGACAATTATTTTCATGATATTACTATACATATAATTTATTTAATTATAACAATTAAATGTTTAAATATTGTTTAGAACCCAATATGATATCGCATTATGATCGATGTCACATAATTTAAGCATCAAATAAATATATTAAAATTTATAATATATTTCATTTTTATATTTATCTATTTTTTCTATTCGATTAACTAAAATTTGATAATTTGTATCCTTTTTACTATTGTAACGGTCTAATAGGATTCATAACAAATTATTAAGTAATTTCAGAAATTTCTAGCGTACAACTACAAAAAAAAATAATTATTGATTGGTTACTGAAACCTATAGTAAGATACTACTTAAATGTAATTATTGATTGGCGTCTGAAACTAATAGTGTGCTACTACGAAAAATAATTATTGATTGGCTACTGAAACTTATAGTGAGACACTACATAAAATAATAATTATAGATTGGGTGGTGCACCTTCAAGCGTGCTACTACATATAAAATACTAAGTGTTTTATAATCATAATCACCGTGTGTGTGTGAGTGTTCTCCTGAGTGAATGTGTGTCCTCCCGAACGAATGTGTCCTCCCGAGTGTGTGTGTTGTGAGTGAGTGTGTTGTCCTCCGAGTGTGTGTTGTCCCCCCGAATGAATTTGTGTCCTTCTGAGTGTGTGTGTGTATCCTCCCGAGTGTGTGTTGTTGTAAGTGTGTGGGTGTGTGTGTGTTGTCCTCCTCCCGAGTGTGTGTTGTGAGTGTGTGGGTGTGTGCGTTGTCCTCCCGAGTGCGTCGTCCTCCTCCCGAGTGTGTTGTCCTCCTCCCGAGTGTGTTGTTCTCCTCTCGAGTGTGTTGTTCTCCTCCCGAGTGTGTTGTTCTCCTCCCGAGTGTGTTGTTCTCCTCCCGAGTGTGTTGTTCTCCTCCCGAGTGTGTTGTTCTCCTCCCGAGTGTGTTGTTCTCCTCCCGAGTGTGTTGTTCTCCTCCCGAGTGTGTTGTTCTCCTCCCGAGTGTGTTGTTCTCCTCCCGAGTGTGTTGTCCTCCTCTCGAGTGTGTTGTCCTCCTCCCGAGTGTGTTGTTCTCCTCCCGAGTGTGTTGTTCTCCTCTCGAGTGTGTTGTCCTCCTCCCGAGTGTGTTGTTCTCCTCCCGAGTGTGTTGTTCTCCTCTCGAGTGTGTTGTTCTCCTCCCGAGTGTGTTGTCCTCCTCCCGAGTGTGTTGTTCTCCTCCCGAGTGTGTTGTTCTCCTCTCGAGTGTGTTGTCCTCCTCCCGAGTGTGTTGTTCTCCTCCCGAGTGTGTTGTTCTCCTCTCGAGTGTGTTGTTCTCCTCCCGAGTGTGTTGTCCTCCTCCCGAGTGTGTTGTYCTCCTCCCGAGTGTGTTGTCCTCCTCCCGAGTGTGTGTTGTGAGTGTGTGGGTGTGTGCGTTGTCCTCCCGAGTGCGTCGTCCTCCTCCCGAGTGTGTTGTCCTCCTCCCGAGTGTGTTGTCCTCCTCCCGAGTGTGTTGTTCTCCTCTCGAGTGTGTTGTTCTCCTCCCGAGTGTGTTGTTCTCCTCCCGAGTGTGTTGTTCTCCTCCCGAGTGTGTTGTTCTCCTCCCGAGTGTGTTGTTCTCCTCCCGAGTGTGTTGTTCTCCTCCCGAGTGTGTTGTTCTCCTCCCGAGTGTGTTGTTCTCCTCCCGAGTGTGTTGTTCTCCTCCCGAGTGTGTTGTCCTCCTCTCGAGTGTGTTGTCCTCCTCCCGAGTGTGTTGTTCTCCTCCCGAGTGTGTTGTTCTCCTCTCGAGTGTGTTGTCCTCCTCCCGAGTGTGTTGTTCTCCTCCCGAGTGTGTTGTTCTCCTCTCGAGTGTGTTGTTCTCCTCCCGAGTGTGTTGTCCTCCTCCCGAGTGTGTTGTTCTCCTCCCGAGTGTGTTGTTCTCCTCTCGAGTGTGTTGTCCTCCTCCCGAGTGTGTTGTTCTCCTCCCGAGTGTGTTGTTCTCCTCTCGAGTGTGTTGTCCTCCTCCCGAGTGTGTTGTTCTCCTCTCGAGTGTGTTGTTCTCCTCCCGAGTGTGTTGTTCTCCTCTCGAGTGTGTTGTTCTCCTCCCGAGTGTGTTGTTCTCCTCCCGAGTGTGTTGTTCTCCTCTCGAGTGTGTTGTTCTCCTCCCGAGTGTGTTGTTCTCCTCCCGAGTGTGTTGTTCTCCTCTCGAGTGTGTTGTTCTCCTCCCGAGTGTGTTGTTCTCCTCTCGAGTGTGTTGTTCTCCTCCCGAGTGTGTTGTTCTCCTCTCGAGTGTGTTGTTCTCCTCCCGAGTGTGTTGTCCTCCTCCCGAGTGTGTTGTTCTCCTCCCGAGTGTGTTGTCCTCCTCCCGAGTGTGTTGTTCTCCTCTCGAGTGTGTTGTTCTCCTCCCGAGTGTGTTGTTCTCCTCCCGAGTGTGTTGTTCTCCTCTCGAGTGTGTTGTTCTCCTCCCGAGTGTGTTGTCCTCCTCCCGAGTGTGTTGTTCTCCTCACGAGTGTGTTGTCCTCCTCCCGAGTGTGTTGTTCTCCTCTCGAGTGTGTTGTTCTCCTCCCGAGTGTGTTGTTCTCCTCCCGAGTGTGTTGTTCTCCTCTCGAGTGTGTTGTTCTCCTCCCGAGTGTGTTGTCCTCCTCCCGAGTGTGTTGTCCTCCTCCCGAGTGTGTTGTTCTCCTCTCGAGTGTGTTGTTCTCCTCCCGAGTGTGTTGTTCTCCTCTCGAGTGTGTTGTTCTCCTCCCGAGTGTGTTGTCCTCCTCCCGAGTGTGTTGTCCTCCTCCCGAGTGTGTTGTTCTCCTCTCGAGTGTGTTGTTCTCCTCCCGAGTGTGTTGTTCTCCTCTCGAGTGTGTTGTTCTCCTCCCGAGTGTGTTGTTCTCCTCTCGAGTGTGTTGTTCTCCTCCCGAGTGTGTTGTTCTCCTCCCGAGTGTGTTGTTCTCCTCCCGAGTGTGTTGTTCTCCTCCCGAGTGTGTTGTCCTCCTCCCGAGTGTGTTGTTCTCCTCTCGAGTGTGTTGTTCTCCTCCCGAGTGTGTTGTTCTCCTCCCGAGTGTGTTGTCCTCCTCCCGAGTGTGTTGTTCTCCTCTCGAGTGTGTTGTCCTCCTCCCGAGTGTGTTGTTCTCCTCCCGAGTGTGTTGTTCTCCTCTCGAGTGTGTTGTCCTCCTCCCGAGTGTGTTGTTCTCCTCTCGAGTGTGTTGTCCTCCTCCCGAGTGTGTTGTTCTCCTCCCGAGTGTGTGTTGTGAGTGTGTGGGTGTGTGCGTTGTCCTCCCGAGTGTGTCGTCCTCCTCCCGAGTGTGTTGTCCTCCTCCCGAGTGTGTTGTCCTCCTCCCGAGTGTGTTGTTCTCCTCCCGAGTGTGTGTTGTTGTCCTCCCGAGTGTTGTCCTCTTTCCTCTCTTTTCACTGTTTCTTATATTACTTTTATTTTATCACTTATTATTATTTCAATCACTATCTTATAAATTATTTCATTACTTTTCATATACTTTTCTTTCTTTACTTTATTTTCAATTATTTTCAACTCTATTAATACATAGTCTTTTTCGCACTCTGCTCGGGGATCGCACACACAACTAGTTTTGTGTGTGCGGTTTTGGGTGGGGTGCGAGCTAAAGTCGCCGATTGTATCGCATCCCATTGGATGCGATACAGAAAAATGTTTTGTTTATGCATACCATTCCTTATAGGAATGGTATGCGGTGTTTATTTTAAGTTATATTTAGTTGATATAACCATCTGGTTATATCAACTAAATTTTGTATAAACAAATCTATTTTATCGGCATCCTGACCGACAGTTCGGACCCTCGAGCTGAGTTTACATAAGTCTTATATTTCATTTTACAAATTTTTTTTTGGTATTTTATAATGCTTATTACAACATCTAAATTCTAACTATAATAAAATAACATCAATTGCTTAAATTGTTACAATATCTAAAGCGGATAAATAGTTTAAGCTATACTTAGATTTAATATTTGAAGTCGAATTGACCACCAAATGGGTAACCAACGCGAAACCAAATTTTCTACGTGTAGTAATTCAGAACCGCCAATGTAGAACATCTTTTCTTCATTGGATAGGTGACGTCGATACAGCAGCCGACGAAATGATGTCTTCATTTGTTGCTGCCAGATGGTTAACAGGTTGTGGAAGCTCGCAGACGACCACTTTTTCATCAGGGGTCTTATAATCTTCCTCTATATCATTAATATCAGTTCGCAGACTGACATGTATACGTGAAACATCATTTGTTTCATTCGAGATATCGTTGATCTTTGGGCTGCTATTCTCATCTAAATATTCTGTTTCGATAGGGTCTCTTAAATACCATTGTTTTAATTGCTCTATTGGCACTTTAGTCCTATCTCTTGGGTCTGAGAGGCTTTCAATTGTATAGTTATTTGGGGGGTCACCGTGTATTTTGACCACTTTATATGGTCCAAAATATCTTAATTGCATTTGAGTGTTAACCCCTTTTTGTCGTAAAAGTTTGTAACTTCCGACAATGTCTCCAATAGTGAAAAATTGTTGACTTCGTTTTTGATCGTAATAGAATTTTTGTTTGTCCTGTGCTGACTTTAGAAATTCTCGGGCTACTTCCCTGGCGTCAGCTAAATAATCGCCAGTTGTTTGTTTTGGACTGTCGAATGGTAGACAGAATGCAACATCTATAGGTTTACGGGCATGAAAACCATGCATCAGATAAAATGGTGATTTTCCTGTAGAGGATTGGACGGACGCATTGATGGCAAACTCAATATAAGGTATAACTGCTGACCAATTATCTTGATTGCTATGACAGTATAATGAGAGAGAGTTTATTATCGTTCTGTTTGTTCTCTCTACTAGTCCCTGTGTTGATGGCTTGTAAGGAGCGCAAAGACTGTGTTGTGTTTGAAAGCTTTGAAATACAACTTCCATTGCTTGCGATATTAGTTCTCTTGCCTGGTCAGTCAATATTCGTGTCGGACAACCAAATCTTAGACAAATTCGTTTTATAAAGAATTCAGCTATTCCTTGCGGCTGTCTGTCTTTGATTTTTCCCAAAATTACAAATCGTGTAGCATAGTCGACGGCAACCACGAGATATCGGTAGTCGTTACTACGGGGTAACGGTCCAACCAGATCCATACCAATGAGATCCATAGGGTGTTCAATCGAGATTGAATGTAATAGACCTCTTGGGTATGTCGTCTCATTTTTTCGTCGTTGACAACAATTGCAGCTTCTGACGAATTTATCCACATCTTTCTTTCTCTCTGGCCAGTAGAATCGCCTGTAAACTTCACTCATAGTACGATCCCTTCCCATATGTCCAGATGTAAGAGATCCGTGCAAATCTGATAGTACCAATTCTCTCAAATGTTTTGGTAAACAAAATACAAACAAATTTTCAAATATATAAAATAAATAAAAAATTTATAAATAACTAACATTATATTATTTTAGTTAATAACTAATATTTTTTATTAGACATAACATTTTTTTTAATAATTATGATAAATATGAAAAAATATACATTTTATTCATTTATGATTAAAATTACTTTATCATATAGTTTCCTATGATAATGATAATGAATTTATTGTACCATTTATTTCATACAGTATTAATAATATAATTAATTAATATATTTAAGTAAGTTTATTAAAGGTAAGTTTATTAAATCTTATTTATTTATATTATTTTATTTTGAAAAAAACTAAAAATAATTTAAATGTTCAAAATTGTTAAATAATGTAATAATAAATAAATTATTTATTTATTTTTAAAAAATTTTTAATAACAATATATTTTAATATAATGAGATTGGACAACTATTGGCCAAAAAATATAATCCATATTAACAAATCAAACAAAACATTTAAAGATTGACCATGATCAAATATTGAAAAGTTTATTAAATAGTAGACCATAAAACCAAACTAAATAAATTAATAATAACAACAACAATTAATAATAATAATAATAGATATAAATTATAAACAAAATCTATAAATGTATATAAATTTATTTATTTCTATTTTTTAAAATTAAAATTCAAAATTGTTCTTAAATTATAATTTTATAAATACAATTATAATATTTATTTTAACTTTATTTTTTATATAACAATTAGAAATATTAATAGAAATATAATATATTAATCTTTTAAAAATCTATTATTAAATAGGTATATAATTTTTAAAAATATTTTTTAAATATCTTGATTATTTTCTTCTAATACTAGTATTAATAAATAATTATTTAAATTGAATAAAGTTTAACAAAATAATAGCTTACAGTCTAAATAAAATAATTGTTAAAATAAAATATATAACATACTAATATATAAAATAAGATACGTTTCATTTAAAAAATTTTAAAACTATAATAATAAAAAATTAATACATAGATTATTTGAAAATTAAGCATTTTTATTAAAATAATAATATATTAACTAATATATTACATTTATAACTCACATTAAAAATTAGTATAAATTCATAATTAACAGTTTGCATAAAAATATATTTTTTTTTAAATTTAGATAATCTGACAAAATCTAACACATACTAACTTCTATGTCCAATAAAATTTGATAAAAATTATTAAAAACAAAAAATATATTATTATATTATATTTGATAGTTTAGATTAGTTTTAGTTATCAATAGTGTTAAAGTGTTAAGAAAATTTTAAAAATATAAAAGCATGTAATTTAAATATACAGTTTTTTAAATTTATTTTATAAATAAATTTTTAGAATTTTATTTTAACTTAATAATATAGGAATTTATAACTAAATAACAGTTTTTAATTTGACAGCAAAATTGTATTATCATAAATTAGCATGGTGAAAATATATTTAGTCAATTACAATAGTTAGCTTTAATTGCAAAAATAATTTAACAAATAAAAAACTATTGCTATTATAAATTAAAAATAAAATTATGATTGTGTTTGCGAATCTAATAAATTGATTATTAATTATATCTAAATAAATTATTTATTAGCTTATAATAAATGTTTACAGTTTTAGTAAAATATAATAAATTACTTTTTAGTTAAATATTAGCAAATTGTTTGAGTAATGTACTAGCTAATTATATAAAAATATTTTTAAATATATTAATAGCATACATAACTATTGTAAAATTACAGCTTACATAATGTTTATTATATTAATTTTAAAAAATTAAACAAATATTAACACTATTTATATAAACAATTTAAACGAATATAAATAATTATTATAAATGTTATTTAATAAGATTAAGTTTTATTATTTTTTTTCGTATTATATTTTTTAAATAGTTTTAATATATGATATAATTTAATTTGCTTTAATAATAATAATATATTCAAGATATGAAATAAATATTTCTATTATAACTCATATAATTTAATTGTGATATGAATAAAAATTTTAATTATAATAATAATTACTTTGTTAGTTTATTATACTAATTTACTAATTTAATTATTAAAAAATAGTTTACATATTTTTTTAATGGTGTCTATAAAAAAAAATTATATCCATTATTTATGTTTTTACTTATGTAGTTAATTTTTAAAATTATATTTATATAATAACATTTAATAATTAAAAATTTGAAATAATAATAACTAATAATAAAAAATAACTATAATAGTTAATAATTTTTAAAAAAAAATTAGTTATAATTATTATTTTATTTTTAAATAATGATAATTAAAATAAAAATATTATGATTAAATAATTACTATGTCAATTTTATTTTCTATTAGCTAAGTTATTATAAAATTTTAATTATATAAATTAAAAAAATAAGAATTATTTTAAAAATTTTTCATAATTAATTTAATGTCACTAACATAATGTTAGTAGATGTTAAAATTTTACATTTTCTAAAACTTTTAAAGATTTAAAAAATAATAATTTATATCAAATATAATGCTTAATAATTAGGAAATTTTAGTAAATAATTACTATTAATATCTATAAAGTAATAAAATAATTAAATAACAAAAATTTTATCATATTTTAAATAATCTAATTATATAGATTAGTAAATTATAAAAAAATTATTATTATTATTCTATGTTCAAAAAAATTATCTAAGTATGTAAAACAAATATTTTAATATAAAACAAACAATTATAAATATATATATTATAAAATGAGTATATTATTATTATTTTTAAAAAAAAATCTCGTTAATAGCCATCTAATGCTAATTTTAATATATAATTATTTAAATTACATTATGTTTAACCAAATAATTTGCTTACAGTTTAAATAAAAATTATTGTTAAATAAAATATCATATATCTTACTATTGATATATTATATTTAAAAGTATATATTTGATTAGTTATTTTAGACTACAGATATTTTTTTTTTAAAAATATTTATATTGTTATTGATATCCTATCTATTATCTCCTAATGGAATCAGAAAAAAAATTAAACACATATTTTTACAAACAATTTATTAAATATTATTATTAAATATTTTTTTAAAAACAATATCAAGTATTTAAGTTATTTATTTATTTATTTATTTATTTTAGAAAAATGTGGATATTTTTTTTGTAATTGAATATCTTATTAATCTAATTTTATATTTTTTTTATTTATTTAATTAATATTATTAGTATAATATACACATACACACTTGTTAAGTAATTAATTTATATACAGTGTCAATAACAGTGTTTTTTTTAACAATATTAATTTAATATTAAACAATTTAAATAATATTAGTTATTAATAATTAAAAAAAAAATAAATAAACAGGTGACGACATATAATTATTATTAGTAAAATAATTTTTAAAAATAATTATATTAAAAGTATACAATTAAAAATTTACAGTTTATTACAAATATTTTAACTAATTATTCTATTTGTTTCAAATTAAAACTGATAGCAATTGCAATGATTTTTAAAATTTTATATTATATCAAAATATTAATTACTAGTTAATTGATTGTTTGTCTAAAAATTTTAAAATAATGCATAAAAAATAAATTGAAACCTAAAAAAATACATAAATTAGATATGAATTTCATTTTAATGACTAATAGTAAAACGTATAT